ATGTATTATATATATAATTATATATATTATTATAAATTCCTATGTAGTTTTTTTTCGTCATAGTAAAAACGAGATATGCAGCAGAAAAGTAATTTACTCTGCAGTGCAAAAAAGATACAACAGAAGATTTAAATTAATCTATTTGCACTTGCGACATTCCTTTTCTAATATTTGAATAAGTACGTAAAAGTATTCTTTGTCATAATAAAGAAATTTAGATGACTAAACATCGAATAAATTTGGTTTATTATTTTCTAAAGTAATATGCGACTATTACTACGTTGTCGACAAAAAGTAGCAACATGTTGAATTGAATTATAAGTCGGGTGCATATAAATTAATTTTTATATTGTTCTGACTGATAGTATCTCCAGCGCTCTCTCGTCTATTTAAAGTACAAATGCAAAGCAACCGAGATAGAATAAATCGAACAAATCGCACATCGTTCTACTTCCTCTCTCTCTCTTTTTCACACACCGACTAAGATCAAAATGTTTAAACTATAAATTATGGTTGTGTTTTATCATATAATACACAAAGACAGTTTTACAATATTTATTAGTTATTTTTATATCGTTCTCGGTGTTTTAGCCGTCCTTTTTGCTACACTTTATCAAACATTTTTGTCTAGTCCCTTTCACTCTTTCTCTCTTTCACTTTTAATTTTTTTTCTCACATTTGCATACACACGCACGCATTATTATTATCATTATTATTATTATTATTTATTATTATTAATATTATTATTATTATGTTCTCTTGCTTTGATAGATTATTATTATTATTATTATTATTATATAATTGTATATACATATAATATTTTCGCTTCGATACACAGTTCAGTTAGTACACTTAAAATACATCGATTGCGAATTTTTATCATCGACACGTTTGCCGCAGTCGTCATGACATCATATCGCCGAAGGAGACCATCGAGGTCATTCTCGAACTCGCAAAAACAAAACAGAAACTCAAGACTCTTTAAATGTTCTCTCGAAAATACAATGTAATTCGCGAAAGCTTCCCTAGGCCGAACAAGCACGTACGATCCATAACTACATGATCCACAATCAATAGAAAGATGTGTATTTTCTCAATATAATTACAGTTTTTTTGCTTTGCGCAACAGTCTGCATTGTCTCGTGTTTAAAACTCAGCCGGGGAAACGACGATATGTTGCTCAGAAATATATTTTACTGACAAAGTACATATTTCCTTGGAAAAAGAAAATAAGTTAATCTTTTATAAATGGAACTATATAATATAATAGCACATATCTCAAGGTGTTAAAACATTTATAAATTTAATTTGAAAGAATTATATTATACATATTATATATTATTATTATATATTATTATATTATTATATAGTACAGTGTTCTATATAATAATATTATATTATATTATACTACGTTGCAGGTATATAAGTATATGTATTAGTATTTATTCATTTTCCTCTCTTCGGTTGGTTTCACGAATTTATGCAAACTGCGCAAATAATACACAAAAGAAAACAGCATAAAGCAGAATAATCACTGCTCCTCCTTGTTTACTGATTATCCCGAAAGAATTGATCGATTGTTTGACAAATTCGCGACGATCAACGAGGACAAAGCAACGGATTTGGATCGCTTTTCGCGTGGTTTCAGTCATTACTTAAAAAACGCAAGAACTTTCGCTCGCGCTGGCAGTGTTTTTTTCTATTCTTTTTCTTTCATATCGAAGCGATAACTTGCTCGGAATTTCCAATGCCTATATTGTTACCAATAAAGAAGAAATTGCAAGCAAATATGGCAATTGAAGCAAATCACCCTCAAATTATAATATTTGATTACTGTATTATAATTGATAATTGTGTTCAATATTTTAGAAATCGATTAGCAATTGGAAATATTATTTATATATATATTTATAGATATTGAATCGCACATACAGAAGTTCTCAGTTTAGTTTGTGTATTATTATTTTTAAAATATCTTTTAATTCTAAGAGTAATATGTGAAGAGTACTACAAATACATATATAGTTAATTTTATATGTAATGTATTGATGTGTAAAATTCAAACACACTTACTTCTTAAATGAAAATGCTTAAATGGAAATGAGTTTTGACTTTGTTTCAATTTTAGATGAAAAGAAAGAGAAGTGTCTTTTCATCATCTCAAGATGAAAGTGAAGTTGTGAAAAATAACTATATATTATGGGGAAATTTTGCACTCATACATTTGAATCTTTTTTTCGAATTTATACGTTATGTTTGTGTCACTACTTTTTACCTGCGCGAAAAAGAAAACAATACGTGTAAAGTAACGATCGGAATATGCGGGCGTCGCGCCAGAAAAAACACTGCTTTGTCCTCGATCCGTTGTCGAAATCGCTGCATCTCGAGCGGACCGCGTTTTGATCCAGAATTCGACTATATAATATACAACGTAATAACAGTTAAGTAGCAATAGCAGCAGTGGTAATAATGGTAATAGTCATAATAGTAATATTAATAGTAATAATATAATAGTAGTATTCAATAGTATCTCCTATAAAAAGAAAAAATCATATATAATACATAGAAAAAACATATTTAGTTGGTATATATTCCTTATAT